AGATATCGCGGAGAGTCTCGTGTTACCTGGGAAACGATGTTTAGCCATAAAAATAATTTCTAGAAATATTTTTCAGATAGATGTTCATCAAAAAACTTTCATTATTTCCTTATCTCCTACTTTTTAGTTCGACTATCCATGAAAGTAGGATTCTCCAGTTTTTCATACTATTCTTTTAATTTTCCACTCTCTCAGTTCGGCACTTTATATCTCTCGATTTTTTCAAGAAACTTTTTATTTTATACTCACTCCTCAGTTAGGTTATCTTTAAGAAGTGTGTTATGGTTTCTTCAAACTAATATTCATAACAATAGGTGATAGCTGGCAAGCGTTGTTTTACTACATACATTCATTTCTAGAAAATTATTTTTTGAGTCAGATATTCATCAATACAGTTTTATCACTTCGTATTCTACTTTTTACAGTTTGGCTATTCATGAAATCGTGTTTCATCAGTATTTTGAACTTCTATTTCCATTTTCTACTTCTTAGAAGTTCGACAATTTTATTCATCTCGTTCCTCAAACTTTTCTATCAATTCTTCACTCTCATTCTGTTTGGCCTCGAATTTGACTATCCATAAAAGCGTGATCCATAAGTGTTTCTCAAACTGCCATTTATTACTGAGCTCTTTCGCCATATTAGATCCACCATCCTGAATTTTTCAATTTTGAAGGGTAACATCGAAATCTCCGACCCCTAAAACACCTAGATACGAATTTTGAATAGAATCAGATCCTAATCACGGAATTTATTCGCCATATTTGATACTCTATCCTCAATTTTTTCATTTCGATGGACGTATCATGATCTCCGACCCCAAAATTCTCAAGAAAGAAACTCTGAATAGAATCGGCTCATAGTTACAAAACTCGTTGGTCATATTGAATCTGCCATCTTCGATTTTCAAATTTCAATGGAATAATAATCATCTCCGACGTCAAAAACCCCTAGATACCAATTTTGAATACAATCTGACCATAATGAAAAGAGTTGTTCGTCATATCAGATCCGTCATTTTGAATTTGCTAATTTTGACGAGGGAATCATAATCCCCGACCTCAAGAACCCCCACTTTCCAATTTTGAAAGAATCTGACCATAATCACAAAAATCGTTCGCCATAATGGATCCGCAATCTAGAATGTCAGAATTTTCACGATAGGATTATAATCTTTGACCCCCAAAATCCTTCGGATACCAATAGGAAATGGAATCGAATTATGAGTACCAAATTCGTCAGTCATATCCGATCCGCCATCTCCAATTTATTAATTTTGACGAAAGAATCATAATCTTCGAACCCAGATATCTTGAATTGCTAAATTTTGACGGAGGAATCGTAATCTTTGATTCCGGAAGCCTTCAGATACCAATTCTGAATTGAATTTGTTTATGATTGGAAAACTCGTCCGACATAGTGGATCCGCCAATTTGAATTTCCTTATGTTGACGAATAACTCACGATCTCCTACTCCAAGAATCACCAAATGCCTATTCTAAATGAAATTTGATTACAAAATTCGTCCGCTATATTGGATCCACCATCTTGAATTTTCGATTCAATACTACCGAATTTCATACCTACCGCATACAAACAGAAATTTTCATACGAATCGGTCGATTTGTTTCGAAGGAGTTTGACCACTAACATCGTAACTGGAACAAGAGAATTCAATACATATTATATAATTGGTAGATTTCCTTTTACCGAACAAATAGTGAATTCCGGAGTTTTCGACCCTGAGAAATATTTCAACTTTCAGGAAAAATACGAAGAATACAAAAAAATTATCATGACAAAGAAGGTGACATGAGTTCAACAGGTACTGAATTGGATGTGAATGATTATGAGAATAGAGAATGATATTTCATGACAGAAAGATATATGCGATCACATTAGTTTAGATTATGAGGGTGATAGTTCAGATTCACAAGCAGATCAATCAAGTAGTTTCATTTGCCAAATAAAATTTGAGAATTTATATGGATTCGTCACTTATTGATTTGGTCAAGGAATTGTTAACAAGGAAGTTCTTGAATAGTGAAGTTATTTTTCCAATGAGATATAATGATGATCTCACAATTTAGAATCTCTTGGAGCGTACGTGAGGAAATTCCTATATTGTCTAGCAAAAATAGGGAGAGGAGGTAGGTATTGACATTTTTTCCAAACTTCCGGAGGTAATGAGTTTTTGAAAGTACTTCCATAGCCAGAGAATTCCAAAGCTTCACCGTTCTATAGATGAGCGATATTTGATATAGTGCTGATCGACTTTTTTTGGGGTTAACGAGTAACCTAGTTCCAATATAACGAAAACGAAAGAATAAACATTTGTATTTGAAAAAATGACAAAACATAATCTCAATTTCTTATCCAAAAATACTCGAATATCACAAAATGAAGTTATATTGGCACTCAACAGGTGAGTATGAAGAAATAAAACAGGAACAAATAGTGAAATTGAACAACAAGAAAAACACAAATCAAATGAAAAATTCAAACGTAAGGAACAAACTGTTATAGCAGAGGTAGGTATACAAAGAAATTGGAATTGATCTGAATCGAATGAAGTATTGTCCATTTCCGGTTCTTACATGTATCACTATGTGGAATTATCACTCAATTCGTGAAATGAATTCCAACAGAGCATGTCGAAATATCTTGCGAGATATGAGTATTCGAGGAATGTGAATGGGTTTATCTCATGATAATGAGAGTAAAATTTTCTTTAGTAGATGATGAAATATTCCAGTATATTAGTAGATCTACTCAAAACTCAGTAGCACTGGCAACCCTGCAACGAACCGACGTTGGCTGCACCTACACCTTCAGTATCCAAGGCAGATAGAGTGTAATCGTCAGCTCTCACCTGACATGCTTGAAAGTCACGGATAGTAGATATGTTATATTCAACTTTCATTTTGTTTTCTGCTGCAGGTCCTAGTAGATCAGTTTCTTCTTTTATCAAACATTAATTTGCTGTTCCAGTTTCTTAAACTTTGAGTTTCCTTCAATTATCAATCCATTGAATAATGTCTTTGTTCATATCTGGTTTTGTTCTCTCTTGTTTTCATCCTGCATAATATTTGGTTTGATAATCAGGCTAGGGTAGTGAGGTATCACTTGCAATGCTGTTCCCTCTTTTTTGTTCGACAGCATCTGCAAGTGAGCTGGATTAATTTGTCAATTCTCTGGGTTTCGTATACTCATAGTCAATCATTCAGCATTTTGATCAAATTATTCTCTCCATTTGGAATATTCGTCCAATGAATGACATAACTAACCATGACATAAAAATTCTTCAATTCGTTGGAGTTTATGGGAAGATTTCTCTCAGAGGAAATTTCTCCTGAAAATGACGGCTCGGTGGTTCCCAGAAATCTTTTTTGCTAATTTTTTTCTAGATATTGGGAACAATATGAAAGTAAGACGATTTGTGATTGAACGAGCAAGGAAAGCATTTTAACCGTTTCCGAGATGAAAGGGTCCATTCATAGCCTGAATTTCGAGCAGCTGCGCCGCGTCTAGGAGAGCAAGCTCCGTGAATATAGAAGTGAGCGAGCGAACCAAATGTCCCATAACTTGGGTTACATTTTTTTGATGATTCAGGGTTCATATTAAAACAAGACCTGTTGCTATAATATCGTTCAAGTTTTTTCTGTCTTCCATTTTCCTGGAATATTGAAAAATCTGTATAAACAACGTGATTTTCTTGGGGAGACTATTCTTTGCATTTGTTCATTTGCATGAATGACATAAAATACATGAGTATGTTTGTTTCTTCGTGAGCTGATCAATTCGTCCGCACAATCCTGACTCCACCTATTGATTTTTCTTTCATGTTTCTTCATTACCTCATGACTTTTGTGTACTTCAACTGCACTACCAAATAAGCTACAATTAAGACGTTTTTGGTGAACCATTCAACGAATCACTTTGAAAATCCTATGGAGAGCATATTCCGACATTATCAACGCGAATGAAATATTTTTGGTGATGCGATGTTGCCACTTCAATCAGAAAGTAGTTGAAACTCAGAGTTTTCGAATTGAACACACATGAATTAATTTTCAGAATCCTCGATGATTTGCAAACAACCCTTCTAGTTATTGCTGTATAGCTCTTCGTTGCCGTTTCCGAAATGAAAATAAATTTAAATTTTTTTTTCTTTGAAAATCATGACATCTAAGATTGCCGTTATCCTAACACAGAGAACTGTGAAATCGTATTGGGATTTTGAGATAAGGTTATACTTGAAAGTAACTTCAAGGATCTTGAAACCCCAATCTCCGTTACTTCGATATAATTTGGTAAAATAGTACACTTTCAACAATGGAATACCCTGTATATTATCTGAAATTCTCGTAGCTGCTGCAATTGGCTTTTTCTATGCATATCATACCTACCTTCACCTAACTCGTCTAGTTTCAGACTCATGAGCATTTACTTTCTTAAATGTCCATTCAAAATTTTATCCCTATTCGGAATTTGGTGAGAGGGCCATGATTATTATCTGACAGTGACATTGTGACATATTTCTTATGATATCAAAATTAGTATCACTTTACAGTTTTCAAATACCATCAGAATCAATTGAACGAAACTATTCAACCTGAGTTCTCATGAACTTGTTCATTATTTTTGGCACTATGATATAATTATCAGCAGGACATGTATAGAAAGTTCAATGAAATGTTTCAGAATCTTCTGATTGATCCACGTAGCATAATTAACTTCTGTTCACCCCTTTCAAGATAATTGTGTTTGATATAAAAATGTGTCTACAACACACCTTGCCTCCTCTTTCAATTTTTGACTGATTATTCATTGATAAATTGAATATGGAGAAGGACTATGGAGGTACCATCTAACCATCTAATGTGAATAGTTGAGGATGCAATTTCTTGTTTCGAAATGTACCTAATCGTTTCAAATGCATTTCTATGACTCAATTCCATTTTAATTTCAATACATCAATATTATCAATATGCACTTACCTGTCCTAAGACGAGACCAATAAGGCAAATGATTGCGAAGATGCATAATGATATAGAATTCATTTTTTTATTTCAATTATTGAAGATGAGCACATTTATTCATCGAATATCTCAACAAAACTATAAGGCGACTAGCAATAGATCGCAATGACTGTTACTGGATTATTATGAAATGTATATATCAGATAAGCGATCAGGATATTAATCTACTCTTCATGTTTTATCGATAATGTTTCTTCTGATGAGAGGATATGTCAACTCAAGGCTAACAATGTGAACGATGATATATAATGCGACAAACATGAGATGGAAGCACTTGGAAAAATAATGATCTATCAGCTATCAACGTTTTTAACTTTCTATTGGAAATTTCGAAATTAGACATTGCTGTTGCGTTAGTGTTGTTGATGTCTATTGAGATCTATTGTGTGACATATTCAATTCAATGAGTCTCTCAATAATCAAGAAAAACTCACCCAGGTGCCACCCCAGGTAACCAGCTGACTAAACATCACGTCGTGGCGACGGTTTTTTTTTGTGATGATTGGTAAAGACGTCATTGGTCAGTGTTGAGACGTTATCACGAAGTCGGTACAACTTTGATTTCGTGACTCCGATGAAAATCTATTATTTGCAATTAGTATAACACTGTGTGTTTGTAGCGGGTCGACTTTCCATATCGTTATGTGGTATATAGGATTAATCTACTGTACCTAACCTATCTTTCTTAGATGTACTTGTAATGAACGGGTATCTTAGAGGAAAATTGTGTGAAGCACTGAATTCTTTTGAACTAAGTTCAGTGAAAAATAATTGTCTTGAACAAGAATAAATTTTATCGTGCGTCTACTATAGGCAATATTATTACGTGAACGGACGAATGTTTATTTTTGAATTGAGTGCAGCATCATTAGAATAAATAAATGTATAGAATAAGTAGGTACGTTACCTTTGTAGAACGAATTCACTGGTCACTTAAGAACGAAGCAGGTGATATCACAGGACCGCATTGAGAGACAAAAACGTTGATTAGAATTTGCAGAGAATTTATGAGTTCAGTAAAGAGGGAAGGGCTTCAATCTGATTGGCTCGAAAGATCAATAAATTATTATTTGGCCCAAATACGTAAAGGAAAGAGCATGTTATTGTCAATTTTGTTGATAATCATAAAGTGAATTATTGTCATAACATTAGAGAGTTACATCGAAATCATCTCACTTGTGCAAATTGAAGTCAAGAAAAATTAATGAGAATCATAAGCCACATTGAATTATTACTTGAAAAAGGGTTAATGGAAAACTATAGTAAGTGACAGTTTTATTAACATCAAGAGTATGAGTTGAAGCTTTGAATTATTTATCGTCATAACAATTCAGAATTACAACGAAATCTTTTTAGTTTCGCAAATTAATCCTAACATCTGTAATTTATCGCTCAGAAATCTACGAAAAATCTTGCCTAATATAAACACAACATGGAGCTTGTCTTATATTTAATTGATTCTCTCAAAATTCATTGCTGAATTCTGTATAAAAGCAGCAACAATCCGAATGAGAGAAGACAGTCTGAAGTTATTCTTGAAGCAGTCTTGATCAGTCTCCAATACGATGTCTCGATCTCCGTTGTGTTAGTTGAGAGTTTTGTTAGTGAGCCTCGGGAGTGATTGAAATTCAATCATTGAATCTATTGAGCAGAATGTAAAATGTTGAGTCTTAAACGTGACTCAATATAAAACGTATCCAGCCGACTTTGTAACTGTCTATCAAACATGCTACGTTCGAACAGTACCAGTGAACTTCGTTAATAATACCTGTGTAAGTAACCAGCCAGGTAGATTTATGCTAAACTGCAACTTTTGTGACTAAGACGTAAAAGTGAAGTGAATCTCTCGCCAATTAAAAAAAAACAAGTGAACAGTGTAACAAAAATGTTCAATCTAAAATGTAAGCAAACTTTGATTTTGTTGCCTGTAACCTCTGCCTGACCATTCTGCCTGAATATGTGTCTCAGTAACTATCTATATGTTGTCTTATTGTCTACAATCTCAGTCTGCCTCCTGCCTCAATAATCAACAAACCCATTGATCGAGGAAAACTCACTTTGTAACGACCCCCTGTAGTAGGCCAACTAACGAAGAAAGTTGGGAGCATTACATACTTGTGATCAAAAATAGCGAAAAAAACTTAGAATTTGATGTCTTTAGAAAATAAACTAACACATTTAGAAACATACCTAATGACTCCAATCACTGTTTTCAGCACAAAATGGCAAGTTGAAATTTTCTAGTACACAGAAAGATTCAATGCTGAAAGAAATGTTGTTTATAAAGTGGCTGGCGTCAATGGGTATGATATCAAAATAGTAGATAAATTTATACGTAGACATAAATTTAAGTTAACACTTCGATATTCTACGACTTTACAAGCGGATAAAAAAACTCTACAAGAAACCCAATCCCGTACAATCCCAAGTATACGAAGGGACTTGATAAGGTTTTCAAAGACTTAGGTTTTGAAAGCGTTTATCAGTCTGGGTCAAAACTAGGCAATTTATCAGGCAATCCGAAAGATAAAGTGAACACACTTGAAAAGTCGGGAATATACGAAATAAGTTGTAATGATTGTGATAAAACATATATAGGCCAAACCAGGCGACCCATAAAAACAAGGTTCAAAGAACACATAGCCGATTCAAAATATAGCAGGTTAGATAAATCTTGTGTAGCCGAACATATGTTCAATCACAATCATAACACACATATTACTAACCTCAAATCAAACTACTCAACACTAATTTCGTCGCACACCAAAATGTCGCCCCTGTTATAATGTGAATAACTTTTTTCAGTTTAAAACAATTTTAATTTGGTTCACACTGTTCGATATCCCAGTCCTTCAGCTAAAATCTCGTACTTCATTGAAACATGAGGGTATTCACATAAAATCTCTACATGGTGTTTTCCGACACTGTGCAAAATTTCGGAATATTCAAAAGGCTCTCAAATGGTGAAAAATTTGTTTTTATCAACTTCGACAATAGAGGCATGAAGATGATCTCATTACCTCGAGATATTTCGCGAATCAACTTCCTATCTCTCTTATTTACAGAGTGATCTCAAAAAATCAACTTTTTGGTTTTGCAGCCATAACTTTTTCCCACGTCAACCGATTTTAAAAATCTCAGGCTCATTTTGAAGATAAAACTTCAGATGAAGAGATCTTAATATCAGAATTGATTCAAGATGGCTATCAGAGATCTAGAGTTTTCTTGAAAGTGACCCAAATCTGGAACGCCCTCCGAATCTCGGTTGGGAGGAGAATGGAATGAAAACCAACTTGTTCTCGGAAAAACAATTCATTCTGGATGCGTCCATATTTTCCTTGCTCTCAGTAGTCGAGAACTGTGCGTGAGAAAACACAATTGAAACATGTTCTTGCAAAAACATCAGACCATTTCTCCTCTGTGATGCATGGCCCATAACCAACGTTACAAGAATCACAATGGACTGACAAACCCGACCAGCTAAGGCTCATCATGAATGATGTACCAACAACCCTATGCGGCCTCGCATTGTCATCAACGAGAACAAAGTTGTCACCCACATTCGCGTTAGATGCGGCTTCGAAACTATCGATATCAGTTTATGATTTGAAAACGACGTCTTACCTGACTTGTCATTCACTTACTGTCATTCTTGTAACGTTGGAGGATATATATTTCCTGTGAATGTGTTCAAATTCACGTATAGAAAGTCTGCACGTAAGATCTTTGATCCCTTCATTACAAGATGTGAAATTGCTTGTAGAAAACAATCAATTCGATGTAGTTTCAATTTGTGAAACCTGGTTGAATGATAATGTTTCTGATGATATCATTGAGCTGGATGGTTTTTGATTATACAGGACTGATCGAAACTCCAGGGGCGGAGGTTTAATAATTTATATAACTGAAAAGCTACTTAGTAAAAAAATTTATACCACCCAGCAATCTTCTGAGCAACTCTGGATAAAAATCAAAATAAGGTCTAGAACGTTTGCTCTTGGTGTCATATATAACCCATCAAGTGGAAAAATCAGTAATTTTTCAAATGACTATGAAGACTGTTCGAGTTTTATATATCCAACAGTAGATAAATTGATATGTACAGGGGATTTAAATGTTAATATGTTGGAATACGAATCTGAAAACCTAAGGAAGCTTTCTGCCATCCTAGACTCATTTGGCGTGAGTCAAGTTATTGACACTTCCACAAGAAATACTGGAAGGAGTACTACTCTCTTGGATCCGATTATCATTAGGAAAGAATTAGTTGCGACGAACAACGTTGTTGATTGTGCTGGAATATCAGATCATTCACTTGTAACTTGTGATTTGAAAGTGACAAAAACAGAAAACGTTTCGAAATTTGTTGAATATCGTAGTTTCAAATATTTTAACGAACCTGATTTCAGACGGGACTTATTCAACATACCCTTCTTCAGAATTTTTGATCAGGATGGTATTGATGAGATGGTTCCATTTCTGGTCAACAATTTGACAGATTCATTCGATAGACATGCCCCCATAGTAAGAGCAAGAGTAACCAAACCAAAGGCTCCCTGGCTGACAGACACTATAAGAGAACTGATGAAGACGAGAGACAAGGCCTTGCTCAAATATGGAAAAAAACAAGCTGGAAGTTGATTTTCGCTTCTACAAAGATATGAGAAATTATACGAACAAAGCAATCAATAAGGAGGAAAAAGCATTTTTTCTATTTTAGTTTCAACTAAACAATCCAAAAAAGATGTGGCGTACTTCAAAACAGAATAAAGTTATTTCTGATTAAGATGTGGATATTCCCGAATCGCTGAAAAATGTGAATGAAATTCATTATTTTTCCATCAACTCAATACCCATCATGAAACCACCAGACACTCTCATGGAATTCTATAAAAATAATTGCTTGGCTGATTCTATTTTTTTTTTTTCAGAGAAGTTAATGATTTGTTTGTATATTCATCAATCTGTAAAATCAAAACAAATGCAACCGGGAATGATAATTCGAATATTTCTTTGATGAAACTGTGTTGCCCATTCATTAAAGAATGCATCACATATATAATGAATTTCTGTCTAAGCAAAAGTGTCTTTCCAGAATCATG